ATAAACCCAGAAGTCAAGCTTTGAACATAGGAGGTATTGAGACATAGCATTGTGATTATAAGTGATTCCTTAATAGAATTTGGAGACAAGACTCTGGGTACCACAGAACTTTCCCGGGTCCCTGAAGGGACGCAGTGCCCTCAGTCTGCCCATAGCCAAAGCACGATTTCCCATGGACTTCTCTTCGTGACACAGAGGTGCTGGGAGAATCTGCCCAGGGTCAAAGGTTTTATGATACTACACTCTGCACCAGCTTTTGTTCCCTCAGATCCCAACTCCTTCAGTGTCCGTGGATCAATGAAGTACGTTGAGCTGTACTGAGGCACCACCTGGTACCGAATTTCAGGGGATTTAACTTATCTGTACATGTCGCTTGTGAAAAGGGTTTTTCCAAGGACACCAAAACACCAGTTAAAAAAAGAATGATGCAAAGAGGCTTTAACCCAGACTTTGGGTGTTCGTGGCCAGGCCTGAATTGTTCCACCAGCCCTGGCCTAATTTCCACAAAGCTCCCAACGCTGAGGACAAAAGGCATCTCGGAGCCCAAAAGGCCTCACCCAGTGCTGGACTGTCAGTGGCAACGCCAGCTGTCTGCCGACTGCTGACGGACTTAGGGAAGAGCCCTTCCATGCCATTAACACTCTGCTAACAGCCACTCATGGAAAGGATATCAGTTATGTCCATAAAGAAATACAAATCATCATTTTACTTTAAGGTTCCCCAGAATGAGAGGGCTCTTGAATGGTGGCAAAGAGGCAAATGAAAGGACACGTCCCCTGATGTCAGGCTGGCCGATCTGAGCAGACGACAGCGGTTGGGGTGGCGAACTGCAGCGTAATTACCTGGGGAGCTTTACGTAAAGATCCAGTGCCTATCTGAGGGCCGAGCAAGGACCAGGGAGCAGGGGCCAGGGCTGGATGCAGCTGATGAGCACCCAGTGCTGCCGGGCCTGGCCTGGTCCTCCCGGGAGTTTCTTCAGAAGCCGCTCAGGTGAAAGAGAAGGGAAATTGTAGTGAAGGCCTGGAGAACAAGGTCTCCGATAGCCAAGGAGTGGTAAGAGACCCTGTGTGTGTTTAAAAAAAAAAAGGTTACATGGCAGATTCCTGAGTGAAGAGTTCGCGCACTGGGCCCAGGAAGAGACCGATGGACAGGGTGCGGTGGCAGGTGTTGAATCCTTGCAGACTTCAGGCTTGAGGGAACTGCAAAGGAGAGGAGCAACGAGAAAGAAAAGTGGGGTCCCGGGTGTCCCTGGGATCCAGTGCTCATTTAACACAGTGGTTCGTATCGAAACTTTTCTAGCAAATGCCAATAGTTCGATAGCTTTGAACAACTTTGGAAGTGAATCAGTCACACCTTTTGAAGTTCCTGTGAGAATTCCTCCCTCGCCCCTTCTCATTTGCTCTCCCCTGCCTCACATAAGCTGCCTTCAGCACAGTTAGCCACAGAGAACCGTGCTTCAGACGTCTCATGTACTACTTGGGGTCTGAATCCCCCATGCCTTACATGCGCAGCTCTGATCTTTGCCTATTTTGCCCCCTTCATCTACATTTACCCTCGACATAGCATTTCTCAGCCTTTTGGCTAAGATCAAGTGTATATTTACCCTTGGCATAAACTACCACTTTTACTCCCGTCCCCTACCCCTTCCTGCCCCAGCTTTACCCCCAGCTTCTAATTTGCCCCCGCCTCTTCCCTCCTTCTTGCTCTCTTGGGGTGACCTACAGTTTTAGCACTTCATAGCCCATCGATAACTCAGCTGTTCTTTTCAGGCTAGCTCTCTTTGCTTCATGGTGGGACCTGAATGTCAAGTCCAGACCCCTTAGCCTGGCACAGTGAAGGTGAGTGGTTTCTCTAGGCTCACCTGTTAGCCCCCACACCCCAGACAGGCAGCCTCAGAAGGCCTGAGAAGACAGTGGGGGCTTGGTCTTGCTCCCCTCCCTGTAGTCTCACTGGCTGTACGCCTTCTTGGTCTTGGATTTTGAGGAGTCTGGAATGACTCATCACTCCAAGTGAGTCCTCAAACAGTCCTGGTCTGACTTCAGCCTGATTGAGACCCCTCCGTACTGTCCAAAAGAGAGTTTGTGACCTGTGGGAGTTCAGGACGAAGGACTTCCCTGAAACTTGTGGGCTTTCTGGGCATGTTCTTTACATCCTCTGCAGCCATTCAGGGCCTCTTAGAGTTCCTCCTGGCCAGGTGGCCAGTGATGAAAGGGGCTTACACACATATGTGTCCCAGATTATAATTCTGGGACTAAGCCCCAACAATGTATAAATCATTGGCCAAGAAACAAACTAATCTATAATTGTCCAAGAAATGTACCTAAAAAGCATTTAGTCTTTCATTTCCACTCATGGCTAAAGAGAGAGAGTTTGGTTTGATCCAAGGTGATCAGAAGCTGTATAAAATCAGGAGAGAAAGGTGTTCCCATAATTACGATACATGAGAGGAAGTCCAAAAACCATCTTAGATACAGTGAGTTCATCTTGCAGAGCTGTGGTTGAACACCAGCTGCCATAGCTCAAGTCATCTCAGGAATTTACCCAGCAGGTATAGACTCAGGGATAGGATTGAAGAGGAAACCTGAACTTGAATGAATAAGGCAAAGTATTTTGAATGTTTTGCATCAGCTTTTTGTAGAGATTTTGGCTCCAGTGGCCTGTACACAATTTACCTGGCTGTGACTTGGCCCAAACTCCTTGAAAAGGTTGTTTTGTTTTGTTTTCCATTTCCGTCCTGTACACTTTTTGGACAGTCTGCCAGCAGGGGGCACTGCCACAGCTGAGTGCTTGTAGGGGCTGCCTAAGAATACCAGGCACAGGGATCTTTCCTGCTTAGGCAAGATGAAGGTAAGTGTGGGTTCGTAAAATGGGAGCCTACTACTCAGAGTGAGGGGAAATTATCTATTTTTCATCTTTATTCAAAATTCTGCATACTCTATCTACACGTAATTCCTTCTCGTAACAACTGTGGCAGTCATTTTTCAGATGGAACCACCCAGACAGTAGGATCAACTAAGGCATAAGATAACAGGAGCAGAAGATGAAAGAAACTGGGAAATGATTCTCTTCCTGAGGCGGGGTTGGAGGAAAAGTAGTGGGCATAAGAAGACACAGCGTTTTCTTCACTGGACTAGTAAACAACCTGAATGACTTGCTTCATCGGCTCTTTTTTAAGCAGCCCTCCTGAGACCGGGAAAGCAGGCTGATCCTATCCTGTGATTTAGTAGGAAGCAGTGTAATCCCTGGTTTACAAAACAAGAAATGGTTTTAACACGAGAGAACCCAACATCACAAAGAGATTCCAAATCTGTGAAGGAACAACTAGCTCCTGGATGAAAAATGTACATAAATGCTTAGGAAAATAGTCTCCCATCAGGGACTGGCTCCTGGGCCACTGTGCTGAGAGAAACTCAGAGGACTGGGTTTCTTGTCTTTGTGCAGATGGCACTTTCAGCTCTGACACTCTCTCTGCCTTACTGCCTTCTTCAGAGCTACTTGTAGGTTCATGACAACATCATAAGGTGTGAGACTGTCACCTGTGCACAGTAATAATCCACCTGAATGGACGGGTTGGCTGCAGTTTATTGTCTCAGTGGATGGGCTGTGTTCTAAATGCATTAACATCAGAGCCTGCTCCTTGTTGGGAACCGCTCTGCCCCCTGTCAGGAGCTGTAACTGCCCCCCTTGGCTAAGTATGAGTGAGCGAACTCCAGAATGCGAGCCATAAGGAGACAGAGCTTGTCTCTGGTAGCAAATGCTGCCTCTGCTTCCTCCCCCTGCCCCCAAAGCATGGTGGATGTTGATGACAGGTAAGACTCCTCACAGTGAGGGGCAACCTAAGCCAGACTCAGTCACTTGGGAGGCCATCATGGAAGGACTGGGGGGGCTATGACAAAGAGCGAGCAATGGACCCTTGCCCCCCAGCTATCTGACATAACCCGAGTCCCCATGTCCTCTGAGAGAAGCCCTTCCTGGCTCTAATCCACTTAAGCCTAAAACCTATTATGGGGGAGGTGGTGCAGCCCCTTGCCCACTGGAGTGGATCTTGGGAAATCTGGCAAAAGAAAGAGTTACTAAAAATCCTGTGAAACCTGCTTTGCTAAGAGTGTTTTCATTCACATGATAAGGGTCCGAGCAGGAAATGAGTATGTCTCCCAAAGCTTCTGCAAACCCCCTTTCCTGACAGACAGTGACTTGGACTAAGCTCTCAGATTTCTGTGAAATGTTATCTACTGTTTGATCCTTGCCACCCTGTATTCCTGTGTATTACAACCCAATAAAAGCCCCTGGAGGAAGGGGCTCCTGGCCTGTTTCCTCTGAGAAACTGACCACCTCTCCTCCCCAAGCAGATCATGTCTTGGTAGTGTTTACTTTCATCCATGGTGGACGGGTAGGGGGGACCTGAGGGCAAAGTCGCCCCCACAGCTTGTGAAGTAATGAATAAGAGCTCGGCTTTTGTATTCTTTCTAATTCTTAACTGTTTTTAAATGAACGGAAAGCATGACCAGAAGACTTCCCCGTGTATGTTCTCTAAGACAGCATGGGGTCAGGAGGAAAAGCCAGCCCTTCCACAAGACCTCATGTCATGCAGATTTGCATTTAGGCTGAGCCGGGTTCAAGACGGTTACCGTTAAACACCGCGAAGGACAAAGTAAGCAACAATGTTCTTGTAAAGAGTCAACCAAGCCGGTAAGAAAATGTCTGCCAGAGCTCGCTGTGAGGTATTATGTTAAGGTAGCAAATTTATAGGGAATTCTAAAATTTGCTCCCCAAGCTACAATCTATGCTGTCCTCTTGTTTATCTTGACTAGGCTTTCTTTCTCTCTCTCTCTCTCTCTCACACACACACACACACACACACACGCAGTCCCCCCCCCCCCCCCCCCCCAATGTATCACCCTCATCCCCACCCCCTTTCCTGCTTCAGATTCCACAAATTAGCCAGGTACCTAACTTATGAGCTAGAGCACCTGGGTCTAATAAACAAACATAAACAGCTGTAATTGTTCTCTTTAATCTTTATTTGCTACTTTCACTCCTTTATCCCACCAGCTCAAATTGTGGAGGGCAGCAGGAAGCCAGGTGTGAAGAGGGGGTGTGCCAGCTGGCTGAGGGATGCCAACCTGGCCATGGCAGGGGCAACAGTGGGCATCGGCCCCTGGGCCCGGGGAGCAGACTGCACCGCTGCGGAGCCAGGCAGGGAGGGCCACCTCCCACAACAGTTTGGCTTTTAAAACATGAAACGGAATTGCATTCTTTATCCTTTTTTTCTTTAATAACAAACAAAAAAGCCCCGAACCTTCTATAACTTATAAGCTATTTTTGCTATCTACATTATATAGAAAATATAGACTCTGTTTACTTTATAACACACATCTTTCCCCTTGATAAATACTTCTTTAAAATATCTAGTATACATGCCTTGACTTTTTATACATAAGTTTGGTTTTATACATATACATACATATATACTCAGCTTCTTTTAAAATCAACTTAGAAAGTTGATTTTGATTGTAGGTGATGCAGCAAACTAGAGTTGGGGATATTCAAAATGTCACTGGCTGATTATCATAGATGGCCTTGGAGTTTTCTCTTGGTGGTCTGAGTAGAACAGGAAAATGTCTTTCCTCTCTTCACTCAGGGACTGGGGCTTTTTAAGTTCTTTTGTGTGTGTGTGTGTGTGTGTGTGTGTGTGACTCAAAATTCAGCAGTATATTGCATTTGTACCTTTTCACCCTCTTAACTCTCTTCATCTGGTCTCATAGCCACAGCTGGTGAACGTGACCTGGGTTGTAAATCAGGTTTTTGAGTCCATAGCCTTTATTTGTGTGGCAGCGGGTGGGGGAGGAGATTCAGAATTGCTAACATCCTTGGGTGAAAGTAAATCCAGTTGCATCTTAAGGGACTTCAGAACCCAATATACTTAGTTCCTTTATTTCATATCTCCCCAGCCCCCCACTGAGGTTAAGTGATGGCCAAGGTCACACTGATTATTAGTGGCAGGCCTGGACTAGAAGCCGAGTTTTCTGCCTGTAAGTCACATTCTGCTTCACACAGCACCTTCATAGCTCTCAGATGGGAAGAGGAAGGCTCGGAGACATGAGACAACTTGTCTGAGGTCCCATGGCTACTTGGTGGAAAAGCTGCCGTTAGAACTCAGACATGCAAACGGACTGTAATTCCCTGAGTTGTCGCAGCTGAATCAATTTCCTAGAAACTCATTTGTCTTGAATGCACTCATAAAAACGAGCTGTATAAAACCTCCCATTGTGATTGTAATGTGAACAGTTAGCTCTAATTTGTACGGTATTTGGCAAGGGTAGGGACATAAATTCAGATGTGGGCCTTTGGGATTTCCTGAGGCCGGTTCTACTTACACCCCCACCCCCACCTCTTCTAGATACAGATCTGGCTCAGGACCCGCGCTCCACCCACTGCTACTTTTTTTGGCCATCAAAGCCTTGAAATTTATGGGACGAAGGCTATGGCATTTGGGAGTTTATTTTTAAAAAATTATCAAAGCCCCACATTTTAATTTCACTTTGAAAACAGGGAGGGCAACAAAAAAAAGCTGTGTGCATCTGCAGTGTGGCTTTGTCTCTTTACCAGCAGTTGGCATTCCCACTCGAGGAGGAGAAATGGGCAGATGGGGAACCCGGGGTTTCAGGGGACAGCCCTGACCGAGTCAGACTCCCAGGACTTTTCACAAGGCAAGGCGCCCCATGCCCCTCCCACTCCCACCCTCAGGTGCTGCCGTAGGAGGTGATGGATGGCCTCAGGAGCTCACACTGGAGTCTGGAGTTGCAGCCAGCACCGTATCTGAGTGACCACCAGTTAGCAGTGGAAAGTGGTGGCTCACCAACCTTTTCTTCCCCCACATCACAGTCCCTACCCGATGGAGCCCCTGGGAGGACCACTGAAGCGTCTGCTCTCGGGCTACTAAAGCATTGCACTACTAATACTCTCGAATCTGTTGCACCCTTTTCCGTTTACACTAGCAGGGAGTGACCAGAAGAATCACCTGAGGAATGACAAGACCATGTCTTATGCAATGGCTGTATGCTTAGTGTGACAATCAAACACTTTCCAGGGCAGGTGGCCAGGGCCACTACAGAAAAACTGCAGTGTCACGCTGTCTCTGCTTAACAGTTGTGTGACTCTGGGCAAGTTACTCTTCCTTATGAGCCTCGATTATCTCATGTGTACAATGGGAATAACAATATCCAATACTAAAGGGTTGGTTTTTTTGGATTAAATGAGACAATGCACTTAAAACACCCTGCACACGATGGATATCAAGAAATATTGGAGCGTCCTGGCTGGTGTGGCTCAGTGGACTGAGTGCTGGACTGCAAATCAAAGGGTCGCTGGTCAGGGCACATGCCTGGGTTGCAGACCAGGTCACCAGTGGGGGGCGTGCAAGAGACAACCACACACTGATGTTTCTTTCCCTCCCTTCCCTTCTCTAAAAATAAATAAAATCTTGGAAAAAAATGTTGCTGCACACAGAGTACTCAGATGACTCTGCAGAGGGACAAGGGCTCTGGGAGGAGTTCATTGAGTTGGAGTTAGCCAAGACTTACGCTGGGGTCCAGATACACAAAGGTATCTGCTGCCAGGTCAGCCAAGGAGTGTCTGCGCTTCCCTGCTACGCTTCTCCCATGAAAGGGTGAAGTCATGGAAAAGCTGACAGTGGCCATGGACTCTCTCCAGAGGAAAACACAGAGTATCCAACTAAGCCCAGAGCATGCCCACACACCGTGGGTGCCATGTAAGAGCCCCTGGCCCACCTCCTTTCTCAGAATTTGGGATTCGGGACCTCTGCAGAAGCAACCAGCAGCATGAGCCAAAATTTCCAGTAGCAGAGGCATCCACCTGAGGATGGTAACAAATCAGGCACGGGCAACTAAATGTGATGACCCTAAAGTGTGTGCCTCCATTATACCAGCTCCTTAAGACACATTAAACAAAGCTGAAAGAGCAAGGTTATTGCCAGGACTCAGCCTCAGTCAAAGTCAGCTGACAGTACCCAGACCCTGAGGTACCCTGAGGGTACTATTAGCTGCTGGACTTGGTCTCAGCAAGCTCTGTGGAAGGCTTGAGATTTTACTTTGTATTGCAACTAAGTCTCTGCAAGTGGTAGGACAGGAGCAAAAAGATGACTAAGAAGTATCTTAAATCCATTTACTATTATTTTTGTATTAAAAACATCAACTACCTTGGTCTTTTCTTCCTCATTCCTGCATCTACCTACTACATGCATGATACACAACTATTTTTCATGCTTTCTAAAAGAATATATATTTTTCCTATATACTCTGGCCTCAAATAAGAATTTTTGTTTAAGATACTGAGCATTTATCACAGAGCTCAAAGGCTTTTGGGGGGGGAACCTCCCAAGTGTTTGGTTAAGTATAGAAACTTGAAACTGAAGCCCCAGGGAAATCCCTACTCAGATGATAAACGACTTAGAAAAATGAGACCCAGAGAGCCATCTAGTTTCCTTTTCCTTCATCCCTAATCACAGCCTTTCAGGCTAGCTAGGAAAAAAATCATTCCACTCAGTTTCCGCAAAAGCTACCCAAAGGGCAATTAAGAGAACCTGAACCAAAACAGCCCAGGGCATGACCCTCTGCTCCAGCTATTACTGGGAGACTTCCATCCCGTCAAATCTCTAGCTTTGAACTGATAGCGACAAAAGCTTGGCATGTCATCATGAAGTGTGAAAAACTGATCAGGGACTAGAACGTAGCATGCAGAGTTTCAGCTGATCAAGTTTACTATGTTGCAGTAAAAGCCCTCGAAGTAGGGTGAGTGTATCCAGCAAGGTGATCCTTACTCCTCGATGCTAGAAAACGACCACCATTCCCATGATGTTTGGACACCCACACTGCAGCCTGCCCAATGTATGAGTTCATAGTATATTGTGACCCTGGAAGGAGAATGGAGGATCAGCTGATTGTACTGTTGTTTTCAGATTCTGCCTGCTCAGAGCCAGGGAGTGAACTCTCAGCCCCTTAAATTCCCTTCTAGTTCTACTGCCAGTCATCTGAAAAGTAGTCTCAGCCTCGGTTGTGTGAGCTGTGAACAAAAGCCATATAGATTTGCAAGTACTAGTTTCTACACCCAACCTTAACAAATGTCTCCTGTGGGATGAAGGATTAAGAAAGATAAAAAGAAAAAAAGACCCTGTTTTCAAAATGTGTTTGACTTGGTCCTTTTAAGACCAATCCTGAATTTCTAAGAGTGATTTTAGTGACATTTGGTGGCAATGAGTATTTACAAGGCCGTGTGTGTGTGTGTGTGTGTGTGTGTGTGGTTGTTCCCTTTTGGCACTGCCTGCTCTGCGCCTGCAGTTTGCCGTCTCCAGTAAAAGCTCTGTAAGCAGAGGGTGACAAGACAAGAGAGACGAGAGACCAAGGAGTAGAAGAATGTGCTTTTCCCAACATTAGATTCTCAATCCCCCAGGACAATACAGCCGAGAGGGCTCTAAAACCCTATTTTAGAAACACTGAAAATTATGTTCCTTATTGTCCTTTTGCTTTGTTTTGTTTAATACCCATCAAAATTTTTTTAGGTATCCGAGTCATCAAAGCAAAGGAAAAGAGTATTGACTCTTTTTTTTTAAAGGGAAAAGGACTACATCCGAGTGGAACTGAAGACTTCCCTTTTACATTCACAAAGCTGCATGACACACCTGAAGCCCTGCTCTAACTTGGTAGGGGGCGTGGGTGTCGAAGCACAAATCAAGCCCAGGGCTGGCTCACTTTCCCCTCCGCTGGGCACTCCCACCCCAGCACTTTGGCATGCAGCTGTGCCCAGCTCTCAAGGGCAGCATGTGAGCTTATAGTCGGACCCACACCTCCTGCTGTCTCTCTGGCGCTACCCATGGAGCCAGGTGAAAGAACAACCTCAATGCTTTAGTACCAAATCTTACACTCAACTCTACTCTCCCAAAAGTAGTGTTATCAGATGGCTTCTTGCAGTTTTTTAATTGCTCACAAATTCAAAGCGATATGTCATTCTCTGCCTCATCTGTTTCCACGCAGGTGTGTTCTTGCTCCCTCCTTTTGCCTTAAAGAACCCGTCTCTCTGCCGGCCATTCCTGGCACTCCCTAGCTCCACCTCAGGCCAGGGGAAGGGCAGTGGACCAATTAAGAAGACACTCCCTCCGGCTTCCTAGGAGGAAGCCCAATCAGTCGAGAAAGCTGTACACTTCACTACCAAGTGCTTTTTCCTCCAGACACTTAAAGTGGTTTCCTGGAACTTGAACTTTTCCATTAGTCCACTGCATCCCCACCTTTCCCCAGACTAACAGGCTTGTGTGGACATGTGGGGATATGCCTTCTCCTGCCAGCCTGAGGCGGGTAGGGAGGAGGGAGAGCCTTCACCAACTAAGCTTGATCTCACAGGACCATTTGGCTTGCAAAAGAGGCCAAGGTGTGGGGGGTGAATGAGATGAGAAGGAAAGTCTCCCTCCTTGCTTTTCTACCTCTCATGCAAATGCCCAGGAGGGATGATCTCAGAAAAGGCAGGCCCTCTGAACACTCTCAAGCTATTTACTCAGCATCCTAACAGTCTTGTTTGGGGCCCCTCACCTGGGCTGGGGTTCACTTTCCCACAAGCCATTTACTCCCACTGCCCCTCCCCCTCCCCCTACTCCTGGAGGCCCCCCTCTCCCCAATGCCTTTCCCCAACTCTGGGCCGCTTGAGGAAGGTCTAAGTCCTCCTAGGTCCCCAGACCATGCTAACAGTACAGGGACATCCTGCTCCTGCGCATGGCCTCGCTGATCAGGTAGGCGGGGCTGAGCTCTGGCTCCTCAGTCATAATGGCGATGTTCTGCCACTCGCCGGTCTGGCTGGACCTCTTGATGGTGTCTACCACACACAGGGCATACAGGCAGTCGTCAAAGGTCGCAGCCATGGTGAGCGGCCGTCCGTCCCACGTGCGTCGGTCGTCCTGGTCCTGGAAGGCCTGGCGCACCGCCTGCATCATCTTGATGGTGCCACGCAGGTAGGGCGAGGGGATGTCGCTGAAGGCCTTCTCGGGCAGAAGGGAGTTGCTGACAGGTGTGGAGTCCTGCAGAAGCAGTTCCTGCTCCGGGGCGCTATTGCGTTGCCCGTAAAGGTCCGTGCCCACCGCCAGCAGGCGCCCGGCTGAGCCCACCACAGTCACGTCCTGCTTGAACTCACCTGGCACGTTGAAGTTGAGGGTGACGGTGCAGCACACCCCACCCTCCAGCACCATCTGGAAGGTGCAGAAGTCATCGCTGGTGATCTGGCGGATGCCCTTTATGTGGTCCGTTTGCTTCACGAAGGTCTTGAGCAGCCCGTGGACCTTGACAGCCTTCTGGCCAGTGAGGAAGGTGAGCAGGTCGATGATGTAGGTACCCACCGAGTGCAGGCCGCCTCCGCCCATCAGGTCGTCGCAGCTCCAGTTGTACTTCTTGCCCAGCAGGCTGCCGCTGTGCACCTGCACCTCGCACACCAGCAGCTCACCCACGTAGCCCTCCTCAATGAGCTGCTTCATGCGCACGAAGGCTGGCAGGAAACGCAGCACATTGCCCATGATGCTCATGAGCTTGGGGTAGTAGTGGGCGGCAGACATCATGCGGAAGGCATCCAGCGGCGTGGCCGTGCGGTCACAGATGACGTTCTTGCCAATGCCTGTGGGCCGGAGAAAAAACAGCTGATCAGGGCACCGGGTGGGGAGCGAGCGGTAGGGGGCGCTGTGCGCCCCAGACATTAAGTCTTGGACTGGGAACCAGATTACATTGGGTATCCTTAAAAATATTTAATAATACCGTTTATTTAGGCAAAAATAATATATTTCATGTATTTCAATATTCTCTATATATTCAGTGATTAAATAAGTAAGTTACTTAATTTTAGTATGAAACCATCAATACTGATATATGAATACTGATTTTAATATTTTAATAGCCTATATTTTAGAAATATTTTAAATGTTTAAAATATAATGTTTTATGCGTATAAGTCTATAATATTTTATATACAAATGTTACTTATAAAATATGTTCAAAATATCTAAATATAAAATGAGTTCTATTAAAGTATGCAATGTAATCTTTTTACATATAACATATTTTATTAAAATTAGGTTACATATGAAATGCTTTAAGTTTTATCTTTTGTGTAAAATAATATTTTATTAAAACTGTATTATTAAAATATCATCTGTAGAGAAAAGAATAGTGTCTCTATCTGGACAAAACCAGAACATAGAAGCTTAAGTCAAGGCCGAAGTCAATCAGATTAACTATGAGAAAAAATTTCTTAATGATATCTTTCAAAGGCCTAAGCTTTTAAAAAGGGGAAAGATTTATACAATCTGAAGAGAACCAGAGTATGAACAGGCCTAAGCTTTTAGCTGTCTCCCCCACAGCTACCAACAAAGGATTATATACTGAGTGTTATCTTACTTGTTTACTTTGCATTAGGACTAGGGCTGGCAGTGATCACAGGTGTGTTAGTTTAACGTTTTCTGCCTCCTTATGGGAACAGCAGATATTATCCCAAGGGTGGACAGTGGCCAGTTCCTCCCGGACTGCCATCTGTCTCACAGTGAGGTTTAGTTAGTGATTTTGGCCAATGGAGTTGAGGCCAAATAAGAATTAGGGTTATGTGATGACCACAGTGAGTGCATAATTTACAGGTAGATGCAAGCCCTTGAGGACACTAGGTGGTTTGGGGTGTGGGGAAAACAGAGGGCCAGAGGAAAGGGGAGTGACAGAGAAGGAGAAAGGGACTTATTCCTTAGAAGCCAAGAGTCAAGGAAGAAAAACAACTCAGTTGAACCTCGAGAAAGAGCCAAGTAGGATTCAAAATAACACAGCGACAACAATAACAGAATTATACAAATTTTTGTTAGCAGGCCAGACTAAAGCATGCTAGGTAAAAAGATCTGGAGAGCTTCTGAGTCAATACACATGCCTGCCTGTGGCAGGGCTCTGTTGTCCAGCCACGCTCTGCACACAGACCCTCTCAAGGGGACCTGGGCACTCCAGCCACAAACACAGGAGGTACCACACGAGTACTGGGATGATGAGACACACAGACCCATCCCGGCTGCTCTGACTGAGTACACCCAACTTGACAACATCATGATATCCCACAGGCTGAGCTGAACTAGGGTCCTGTGGAAGTCCGGTAATTGTAGGTTTCTTTCTAGTGTGGACACCTGGACAAGGCCACAGCCCAGCACGTGGCTTTCTCACTTTTCCATCGGAAGAACTAGTCCAACAACAGATGTGGTCAGAACAGATTGTAGAAAGTAAATACAGTCAGTGGGTATCAATTTCCACATGCACATCTAATCCTGGCCCCGAGTGAAAGGTCTGGAGGCCACACAGAGACCACATCTCCTTGCTTTTTCTGCATCTCCTGACTGTTAGTGAGCAATAAGAAGCACCTCTAACTTCTAGCAACCAGGTGCCAGCAGTGGGATGAGGAAACACTGGCGTGGATTACTAGAAGGGCCATGCACCTGCATAACCCCATGTTCCAATAATATGATCCTGCAGGCATTAGGCTCATGTAACACCAGCTCATGAGGCAGGAGCAGATTTCCATGTAAATGAATTGGTAGGTCACTGCAGGGACAGGTGACAAATGCTGCCCAAATCTGCCTCATACCTTTTGGGTACAGGCTGTGGCCTTTCCTATACTGTATACCTCAAGGTCCCCAAACTGGGACCCTTGACTGCCATCTTCCTGTTACAATCTATTGGTCATATTAATGGCACATGAAAATTTTTATGTTTTTCTGTTATAAAAACTATAAAATACAATAGTAAGAGAAATAAATTGAGAAATTTAATTCATGCCCCCCCCAAACAATCAATGACTGGGTAATTCATTGCAGCTCTGCAGATGAGAGGATCCTGATGAGAGCTGGACTCCCTCCCCAGAGTATGCATCATTATGAAGCTACAAGCAGAACTCTGCCCCATTCTGAGCTCACATGTGGCTCCCCCAAGGTTCTGAGAAAGGCTTCTCTGCCTTCAGGCTCTTGGTGCATGTTGTGATTTCCCGCCATGCAGTAAGTTCCTTGAGGATAAAGGCTGGTTCTTCTATGTGCCCACAGCGCCTGCAGGAGGGCTGCGTGTTTTGCAAGGAACCCGGTGAGCGTTGTTGATACTGGTGCTGGGCCCTACCTCTCTACCCACAGTCTTTTGTGAGTTTACACTTTACAGATAGGTCTCAGCAACATCTTCATTTACAATATCTTCAAAAGTCAAAAGAGACTTCTAGGAATCCATCATAAAGAAATAATCTAAAATGTAAGCACGGCTTCTCGCCCAGAGATGCTTCTCATGCATTATTTATTAGAGCAAAAAGCTGGGAACAGTGCAAATGCTCAGTGCTAGAAGAATGGGTAAGTGCCCTGTAGTACAGTCATATAATGCAATACTGTGCAGCCACTGACAATGATGCTTATAAAGACTTTTTAATGGCAAGCGAGATGTTCATGATGTAATGTTAAGTGAAAAGGGCTCTATTCATAGACATACAATGATCTCAACTCTCTCCTTTTTTAATATTTAAAAACTGATTTGAGAGAGAGAAACATCAAGTTGTTGTTCTACTTTATTTATGCATGCATCCATTGGTTAATTCTTGTATGTGCCCTGTCTGGGGATTGAACCTGTGACCTTGGTGAATGTGGACAGTGCTGCAACCAATGGAGCTATCTGGCCAGGGCCTCAAGTCTCTGTTTAAAAAAAAAAGAAAAGAAAAAAAGCTGGGTGGAACTACCTGAACGTATTTACAATGGTTAATTTATTTGTAAGATTATAACTAATTTTTATATTCTTCATGATATTTTTCTATATTTTCTAAGTGATTACTTTTATGGTTAGAAAAAATTTTTTTCTTTTGTAAGCCCAAAGGAGACATGAAGAACTTTGAAGGACAGTGTTCACGTATGGCAGGAGGGCCAGCCCTCCAAAGCCCAGGATGGGCAGACATGTCCCAGAACTAATGGGCCTGTCCGGGTACCTGTGCTCCAGCGAGCAGGTGAAAGCACCCTGAACGTAGGATGTTTTGGAGGCTCAGGCTACATTGCCAGGTCTTCTTGCTCCAACTCCTCAGGGCCTCTTTATGATCCTGGTGAAAGCTATGGTTTCTTTCCAGAAGATGCAACTCAAACATACATACAAAACCTTGTCCACATCCCAAGCCCATGTACATCCCGCCCCAGTCAGGTTCTGGGAAACAGGAATCTCCATGGAAAAATTTAAATAACTTTTTGAGACCTTTATGATACACTGTTAAAAATAGGATAATACTTCCAGTTTTAAAAGGAACCCCAAATGCAAGCTAGCAGACCCTTCACGGACTTGTAAAGCAGAGTTTGTTTTCTCTCTTTTCCGGACATTCTTACCCCAACCCCACCTCTTGGCCAGACTTCTGCAAAGCCCACTCTGGAGCCCTCAAAATACTTAAATTCTCTTTCCCAGCTTTTTGCCACCCAAATTTGCCCTACCAAAATCCCAAGGTTTTTAGCAGTTTTACCAAGAATCAAGGGCTTAGGCTAAGAAAATTGCAATTCTATTTTTGTCACTGTTGTTTGCTTGTTTATATGTTTTATTTTAGCTTTGTCAAGGTATAATTGACACAGAATTGTAAGACATTTAAAGTGTGCATATGGTTCTTGGTATACACTGTGAAAGGATCCCCCATCTACTTAATGAACACATCCATCACCCGTCATATTTATCTTTTGTGCGTGAGAACATTTAAGTTCTATACCCTTAGCCAACTTCAATTATACAGTACAGTATAATCCACTACCAGTACCATGTTTAACTGTTTAATTGTAGACTTCCGTCATCAGACACTGTGTGTGCAGGTGTGTGTGTAGGTGCACTAGTGCAGTACAGAGTATTTCCCTTACCCCAAAAGTCACATGCAATGTCATGGGAACTTGCAGAGGGTTGACATACCCTACAACCCTGGGTGTGTCAGATGCCATTGAACATATGCTGAATTTCTTCCCAAGAAAGCAGATAGATAATACCTGCCTTCCAATTGCCTCTGTCAACCTGGAGCTTGGGGGTTTAGGGCTCCAGAAAATACTGCAAATCTTTGGTGTCTTCATGATTTTCGCGGGCCTTAGCACAATGCCTTTCTTGCCACCCCCAGAGAAAGTGCTGGAATGGGCTCTTTAGAGAAAAGCACTCTCTCCATTTGTGCTAGAAAGGAAATGATAAGTAAGAGCAAGATCTCGCACTCTTCCCTAAGCACACGGGTCAGACATCCCTTTGATAGGAAGGTGGAGATACTCCACCACAGAGGCAGAAACCGAAGAGCAGTTTCTCAGGGAGAGGAAGTCGGGGGAGGCAGAAGGCCACTTTGGGAGCCTGCCACTAAGACGACCACGGCTGATTCCTAGTGGGAACCCAGGAGGGAAAAACCACAACGCTGGCCTCAGCTCTGCATCCCCTAAGAAGAGAGCGTGCTTTCTCACAGGAGGGCCACCTCTACCCCTTGCATTCACGTACCTTTCAAAGTGCCACCCAAAACAACCTCCCTTCAGGTTTTGAGTTCAGACTCTCTTGTGGTAAGAAAGACATTGTGTCCTTCTAAGGCAAAAAATCCAAAACTTTGGGAACTCAGTCAATCTAAGAGAAAATGGTGCCACG